AATCTATAGACTAAAAATATGCTTACTTACAACGATTATTTTTAAGTGGGGAATTGTGCATAAGACTGCTTTAGGCCCTAATTCACAAGAGTTGCTTGGATTCAAAACATGTCCAAGTCCCAATGGAGCTATTTCAATTATATTTCTAGCTTCATAAGATTTAGTTGGATTATAGAGAAACAGAATGAACTTTTTAAATAAATCAATTGATTGCCAACTCCTAACAAAACTTATAAAAGCTTAAAAAACCTAACTTTTATGAAAAATGGAATGTGTTGAAGAATTTTGTTAAATAGAAAGGTGCAACTTGTAGTTAAAATCTAAAATGAGACAAATGGACTTTAAGACTGCATTGAACAAACTCCTCATAGAATTCTCTCTTTTACTCATATACACAAACTATACAGCACTGAGTGAAAAAGATTATTACCATACAAAAAATCACGTCAGTAAAATATTCAAATAATGTTTAGTTTAAGTGATTTGACTGTCCAGCAATTCATGATGATCCTTAGCATACTTGCACTTGTTGGAAAGACTAAACCTGTAATACTAGAACAATTAGCCAAGCATGTAAGCCACAATAGAGCTAGAAACCATTTTTGAGCCTTGCCTTAGGCCGTGCATGGATCTTGCACTAGAGAAAGAAGCCATGCAAGTAAACCACCCGATAAGCCAGCCACTATGTTTCTACCTAAATCTCACTCCAGACACCACAGGGTACCCACTCGAACTTAAAAATTAAAATCAACGTTTATTCATGATCATATTTTCAAACTTCTATGACGTTGATAAGTTTCAATGCTGTTAAGCCAGGTATGGGCATAATACCTACTGCATTGCAGCGAGTTGTAGTGGACATGAGACAAATGGAGCAGTACAAGGACACCACAGTGATTTTCCCGATGTTGGGGCAAGTAGCCGATTGACTCCAGTAAGATAAATATAATTTTGATTCCTAACCAAGTTAAAGTACTAGCTGCCAACAGCTCTATGATCAAGCCCAGCCAAGCTTTTGATTGAGCAAATCGAAGAGAGGGTCTGAGAATATTGTGCAACCAAATATTCCTAATGTCTCCGGCATTTTAGAGATTGAAATCTTGTATTGTTAAAGTGACTGTGAAAGTCGTATGTAAAGCTTGTCTGATATAAAATTCATGATGTCATCGCAATCGTGAAAGCAGATGATCATTACGCTGCTTAGTCAAGATCGCAGTAGATGGTCACAATTCACAAAAAAATCCAGGTTTCAGAGTATTGAGAATCTACCTTTCCCCAATACCACTGGTGTCAAAAGTCTTGTAGAATCGAGAATTTGAATCAACCCATCCATATTTTTAAGGTTTGACTGCAAAATTCAAGGCTTATTCCAGGATTTTTTATGCTTGACAAAATGTTTAAGGTTCTCAAGGTTGAGTGGGTTTCCGAACACTAAGGTTGAAAACATAGTGGAGCTATGGTGTAGCAAAGAGCGTAGCTGAGAGTTTTTTTACCCCCAATGGTATCGGCGCTTGACATACACATAATGGCAACGGTAGCAAGTCAAGAAGCTAAATTACATTAATTTTGATTGAATATAAATAAAAACCTTATTTATCCTAATATGATGATGAATTGTACTGATTTTGTAATGCAATCAATTAAGTCTAATGGGGAAAATAGTAAATAACAGCAAAGTAGTCATTAATTAGGCTATACAAGTGCTTAAATATTTAAAATAATAAAGTTGCATAACATTTCTAGAAACTTCAAATTATTGTGAAAAAATATAAGAACTGTTTACAGAATAAATTTCATATTTTTAATGTGTCATTTAAGGAGAGTTTGACTTTTTGACAAGAAAAACGATATATTATCATGTTATATATTGTAATAGCATTAGTCCTATTTCAAAACATGATTCCTTTCAGGAACTGACAAAATAAAACTACGTTTTAAACCATGTACGTTGTCAGTTTGACCATTGAGGCTAGACTCTCGACTGAACCCTCAAGGTACAGAAATCGGGGTGGAATATCCAAGCGTAGAGGCTAGCGTGTCGCCTTGGGGACCAGCTACACTCCCCACTCCACTATGTTTTGGCACACCTACACCTGCTCAGCTACGCTCTAGCCTTGCCACTCCACTGTTGTCACATTAAGCTCCACTACACGCTAAGCTAACCAAGGATTAGAGATGTTGCCTGAACCTTACTCCAGGGCAGAGGCCATGCCTGGGAGATTGAATGTCAACAGCAAAGCCATGAGTTTTTTGTGCTTGATGTTGGAGAGGATGGGCAACTGATATTTTGTGTTAGGTAGTCCAGGACAAATCCACTAAACATTTAATCGAGATATCTACGTAAGCAATACTGTATTGCTGGAAACAGATTTTTTACTGCCGTTTGGCCTTTTCTAGAGGGGATCTCCAATTCACAGAACCAAGCTTGAACCACGTGCTCTGCTGAAAAGAATAAACATTGAGAAGTAACTCTCACCATCCATGACCAAAATCTTGCCCCTGTCATTTCAGGATTGGTCGGTGATTATCTAACAATATGAAATCTTGTGCTGCAATGGTGTGTTAAAAATAAACTTTCCTTGAAGCCAACTAGAGTAGTTCCGATTTAAGACCCTAACCAAAGTAAAGGTGCAGGTTACGGGTAAACTACATTTTGTAGGTGACATGAATATTCAAAAATCAAATATTGCTAAATCATGTTGCTTCTGGTGTAGATAATCATGCTGGTTTTGAGAAAGGTAGTTTTTGGACCAATAAAACGAACGCAAAAACAAAAACCATGTTCACCCATCTCACCCCAAACATAATATGTTGATTAATCTATAATTATTAAATATGTATCAGTCATTGGATCTACAATCTTAACTCCATGAAGTGAACTAAGTAAACAAATAAACATTACGATTCACAGACGTTTTAACAAACAGTGAAGAAGTTTATTCAACACAGGTTTACCTTCCCATACCTCGATTTATATAGTCAGATCTGTAAATAGCATCTTTTTAACTACTCCTTAATTTGGCTAAGAAACATTAGTATAGCTCACGAATGTAACTGATAGTTATTAAAATTTTAAGGTAAAATGGATGGAATTTCTAATTAGTCTACTTAAATGCTTCAAACACACTATACTTCAGGCAGTAAAGAAACTCCTTCCGTTATCAAGTAACCCTATATTTGATATTTACATCATTTAATTAGGCTATATAACCCAACCTTTGGCCTGATCATTAGCCAATAGTCAAGTTTCATTTTAGTTTCATTGTGTTGTATTTTTAGCGAATTTTCCATTTAGGGAATAAGCTATTACCATAGGTCTCATGGTAAGACCTAGACCCGGGACCGATTTACTTTTTCATTTTGAGGTCCCCAGAGGCCAAAAACACCATCCGTTCAAATTCAAATATATGTGTGTGTGTGTCCGTTAGCGTGATAACTCGAGCAAAAATGATCCGATTTTGATGAAATTTGGTACAAACGTGTAAACGTGGTACCTACGTTTATTTGAAAGAGTTCCCGAACTAGCATAATCGGACTATCGGAACGGGGGTTTACAGGAGGTTTTATGGGGTAAAAATTGATTCTTCCCTTTTTTGGCCCTAAAAACACAATATTTCATAACTTCTCTCCAAACCATTTTGTAGAGCTTAAAAAAGGAATAATTTTGTATGATGAAGCGTTGTTGTATGCCTAACGGTTACTGAGATAATTAAAAAAAAAGTAAATTTAAAATTCCCATGTTATTCTTATAGAGAATAAATAAACTGTTGTAGTTTGCTTGTTTATGGAAATATTTTAATCAAATTTAGCAATTTTGTTTATTTCATACTAAGCTATCAACATTTCAAAAAAACCTTAATATCTTCCCTGTAGCAGCAAACCTAAGTACTCACTAAAATTAAAGATATTTAAATAGGAAATAAATCTGACAATTTTTAGGGACTATTATAGAAGCAATCCAGCCGGGTAGGTGGAAATTCGCTTAGTCTGCAGGTTTGTTGCGGCGGGGGTATTCTTTGGGTTTTATCTTGTATTATTCTATGCTCTATGTGTGTAGGCAGATTAAAAAGAAAAAAACAATGTTTGGTTACGTACAATAGTTAAGAAAATGTAGATATAGGATCACTTGATAACAGGAAGAGATTTCTTACCTCCTAATACATAGAGTAGACTCAAAAGAAGTTTCCATCAATTTTATCTTAAAATTGAAACATATTAGACAGTTGTGTGAATGGTAATTTTTGGCAATAGTAATACAATTATATTGAGAGAATGTTATGTTTAAAACCATACATACCTACTATACTCAATTTATCATTATTATTTTAACAAGAATGTGGAAAAATCCTGATCAATCGGTTAAATATAAATGCAGAAAAAATATGTTTGTGCCAATATACTTATTCTAGCTCCAAAACGTTTGTCAAACATTTAAAATCTGCTAAAAATAAATCTGAAGTATCTTAGTCCTCTAAAATTTGATCACCTTCACAACCTATTTGGGAGGTGTGGAGTATATAATAGATTATGGTCACGGTATTTATCAGGCCTGATGTTGGAATTATAGTAACAAAACCTTAAAAAGGTAAGTATTTAAAGCTAGATAACAGTTTACAGTCTTTACAGTTCCATTAATATCCTAGCATAGACTATAAAGTCATACACATATTGTGAGCTTAAAACATAGCTGTCTGAGACATTTTACTAAGTGTGACAGAATAGCAATCTTGATTAATTTTTAAAATCATAAGAGAATATTTCTTGGCACAAAGTCCAGTAATTACTTCATGACAATTTTAGCTTTCTGTTCACAATAATAATTGTATCAAACTAGAGTTACAGTTAAAATAATTTAAACCAAATTCAATAATACATAGCACAGGTGATGAAACGAGAATCTTTTCTCGGTAACTTGTTCTAATTAACTTTGTCGATTGTTGATCAGTCACACTTGGTTAGTGTAGTATCACAGAGTGCGCAGAACTAGACTACAGACTCACACTTGACAGCAACAGAAGCGATCTACCAGTTCACGCAGAGACGACCTACTCTCGGATCCACCGAGGGAACGAAACACGCCACTGGTCGGATCTTCACGACACTCGGCAACAAACTTCTGTAGATCTGTCTTGGGGAAACCGTCTCTGTAGTACAGCTGTACAACAAAACATCTTTGATCACTCCATGAAAAACATTCAGAGGAAAGAAAAATCATTTTATTTAACTTAAAATTACTTAGTGTGAAAAATGTCCATCCAGTGATTTAATATTGGCTCAAATAAAGTAATAAGTAAAACAAACAAATCAAAATTTGTAGGCTTGACAATGAAACATAATTTGAATTGGAACCTCCATATACAATGAATAAAGGATGGTCCATAAATAATGGATCATTTTAAAACAAGTGTCAATCACCTGTTGTTTTGTGTCGAATTTTCATTGTTCTATTAAACAACAACAAATGTCATGCCATTTGAGTAATCATGGATTGTTGGACGTACCGTACCTTTTGCATTGAAGCCTATTTAAAAAATAACGAGTCTGTGATTGTAACTCAGCGGTTATTTCAAAATCATTTCAACGGCCGTAGTCATGGTGCAGTTCCCTCTTAGAACACTATCTATAGGTGGGTGTTTAATTTAAGAACTAAGGGACCTGTTCTCAAGAATAAACTTCCGGGGAGGTCAAAGTCTGTATGTACAGATGAGAACATAGCAATAGTTCTCCGATGTCCAAAAATTCAACAAGAAAACATTCTGTTGCTTTAGGTGTTTCTAGGACCAGTTTACATCGTATTTTACATGACCATTTGAATTTGCATGGTCCCTACAAACTGGTTGTTGCACAGAAGCTCAATCGAGGTGACCCTAGATTACGTCTGGTGTTTTGTCAAAGACTCTTTCAGCGAAAGATTGAAGGCAAGAACCATCTGGGGCGCCCTTTAAAATAGGCTTCAATGCAAAAGGCTCGTTGTACGGTCCAACAATCCATGATTACTCAAATGGCATGACATTTGTTGTTTCAAATACAATGAAAATTGTACGAGTAACGACAGCTGATTGACATATTTTAAAATGATCCGTTATTTATGGACCACCTTTTACTTTATAAAGTACTTTTAGGTGATTTGTATTTGGCAAATTGGGATGCTGTAAACAATTATAAAATAAAGTAACTAAAGCTTTATACACTATAACAGTTTATGTAGGATAAACAGGCTTGATGGGAAGGATAAGGGTTTACTTGTAATTGGTGTTTCGGGCCACTCTCTAGGTATTCTTTTTCAGTTTAGAACTATTATCACAGAAATTTTCAGACTTCACAGGTACAAACTAGTCAATTCAATGGGGATGTACAGAAATGTTAGATGATGAAGGGGAGGAGGCCATTGCTCCTGGTAACTTGAGTGACTACACTACACTGCAGTCATCACTGGCTTACCTACATCACTGTTTAACATACAGAATAGGTGCTTTGTGGGGACAGTTTACGCCAGAAATTTTGAATCTTGGAACTCAAATCCTGAAATGTTAAGCTCAACTGCCGTAACCATAGACCACTGAACTATGTGGTGGTCTGAAGACAGTGATGTGTTACTGTACACATACTAGTCAAAGAGTGGATCAAAAAAATCAAAAGGAATTAATTAACAGCCAAAGTACTGAAATTGTTAACTACCTGTTTGTAATTAGACATGCAATACAGCAAAAGCTAAGAAAAATTTCACCAAGTTGAATAACACAAAAATTCACATATACAAATTCATATTTGTTTACCTTGATTGTATCGTATGCATCCATTATGACTGATATGAACAAGCTGAGCACGACATATATGTAAAGACTGATAAAAGAGTAGAGGTAGATTCGACTGAACCACCAAAGCATTGAGGATTTGAAAGACATCATGGAGAAGGTGGCGTACATGTCATCTCCGTTGATCAAAGCAAATAGGCATTCTGAGGTGCTAGCCAGTGAGCGAAACTGAAAAGTAAAACATTCGTAGGTATACTTCTCAACTTTGACAACTTTAACAAAATGTAAAAATTTTTATTTATACCCTACAGTACATTGCATTTGACAGTTCAAGTTAAACGTTTTTTTTTTTTTTTTATCTCTTTATGTGAAATGTATTGTTTTTCTTTCAAGTATCAAAGCTTGATGTATCGGCCATCAAGAGTAACATGAACAAACTTCCACTTACAGCTATGTAAACATAACTCAACAGAAACTAGCTAAAGCCGAATATTTTAAATCTAGCAAATCTCGGCCACAGTATTGTACATTTTAAAGAACACTAGAGCTAACAACACACAATTATCTGAAGAGAGAAGAATCAATGACAAAGCCTAATGGATTGGTTACCTTCATGTGATAAGGTCCTAGAACTAGCCAGCCACAGAATGTAAAGCCCGCATAGATCAGCACTGCACACAGCAGGAATCTGGCGACCTTAGGGAATGCTGCCTTCAATGTCAATATCACAACCTGCAAATAGAATTACAGTTGGTATTTAGACTGGTGTTCATCATCACACTTTTTAAGTGCATTTAGTGCAACATACATGGATATTGTTGAGTGCCAAGTGCATTGTCATGGGGAAGACTCTTAGTCGTGTCCCGTTTGTATGTACATCCCTAGGGTGACTTCAAATAAATCATCACCTCAGAGAGACACAAATCTGTTGCCACCACGATAGATCTGACCAGTTGCGAAGCAGAGAGGCCTACAAGTGACTTATTCTGATTGTGCCTAGGTCTTCCAGTCACATCACGCCCGTATATAAAGCACTGGTACCACTGCATATGAATAAGATCTACATGATTTCAGGTCCCTGAGTACTGGGCCTTATTTGGAACATCTCTACGCGTCACCGCCGTTGCATCTACACTGTCCTAGACAATTATTTAATTTATATTAAAACTTTAAAAGATGAATAATACAGGATCTAGCACCTTTTTGACGAAGTGAGAATGAAATTACCTTTAACAAACAAAAGTTCGGTAGCTAAGACATAATTTTACTGCGGCAAAATTGTGATCATTTCCTGTGGTTAGTGAAAAATTACCATCATCTTCCACGATCTTTGCAAAATTCTTTACGAATCCTGCAGTCATGGAAGAATCATTACCGTCTTCCTTGATCTCAGCAAAATTTTGAAAATCTCCTGTGGTTGTATGGAAATTATTGTCTCCCGCAATCACATAAAAATCGTGGACAAATCCCAGAGTCATGGAAAATCCTCATCGTCTTCTGCGATCACCACAAAATCCTGAAATCCTGAATGCCTACGGGGTTGTGTAGACATCGGCATTGTCTTTCACAATCACGACAAAAGTCTGGAAAAATCCTGCTGTTGTTTGGTCATCATTATCGTCTTCCAGCAGAGGTTGTGCAGACATCATTGTCATCTCCGGAGTCTCGTCAGGGTATTAAACATCTACCGCGGTTTCAGAAATATCATCATAGTTTCCTGCGATCACTGAAATTTTATTCTAGTCATTACGGTCGTGGTGAAACCGTGAATTTTTTAATGCGCGATCTTCGCAGACTAGTCAAGATCACATCGTGATTGTAAAAGCTAGGCTCGATCTTGATTTTCAGACTTGGCGTTTGATCTCTTAAGCTTGTAGGTGAAACTTAGCCGCTTACACACCTCTATAGATATGTATAACTTTTAATTGGACTTGACCGAAGTCTGTGTATACCAAAGAGTTGGTTATTTCGAGCTCGGATATTATACTTGTCCAGCTGCTTGTTCTACTTGTATTATACTGTGGTGCTTGTCGGGTTGGTTCTACTTTATTCTATAAACTTGTTTTATGAAAAAGCTTTTTAAAAGTTTTTTTAAAAAGTTTGATTTGCAAACAAAATTTACTCTAAAGAGGTATTAATTAAGTGAGCTTACTTCAAAATGTTATAGGAATTAGGGAAACATAATATTTTTGTTATATATTTATACTATAATATTAATAAATAAAATATAATTGAATATAAAATCAGTGTGCTGAATAGTAGTGCATGGACAAAAATCCAAAACATTAGTGATGAGGAGTCAAAGGAAGGAAATGCATCCCCTTTCATTATTTAAGTGCACAACTGGGCAAAATGGATCTATTTAATTCATCTATTGTCTGTAATTTAGCTTATCATATCAAAACAAATATTAATTTATTTTCTTCTACGATTACAACGTACATTGTAGGTTTTGAAGAATCCAAGATAACGCAGAACTCCAAACCACACAAGTAAGGTTCCAGTACCAAGAAGAAGACTGCAGGTGTTCCATTGGTCCCCAATGAATTGCTGCAAAAAATTTGGTTGAATATATTAAAATTTAGAGATTTTACAACTTAAAAAAAGTTATGAAATCTCTTAGCTATTGTGTTGAAATCTTTTCAACACAATAGCAAATAACTAAGTTACATTCTAAATCACTTAAGAATTATTGAACATGATAACATTTATTGATGTTAAAATTTAAATTATCTTAAGGCTTTTTGTTTAGGACAAGCTTAGTTTTTCTTGCCCAATAGAACTACCTTCTTTAATTGAAAGTTGAACCTTCAGATGGGTTTAGAACTACCGAGTCATGATTTCTGACACAGCTAAAATTTGTGATTGGCAAGATTTGAATTTGAGCCCTTAGGACAGAAGTTTTCACTATAACTACTAGTCCAGCCGTGCCGCATATAAGTACTCAGATACTGTTATCCTTGAGTAATAATATATTTTGCAATTAATAACAATCACACACCTGTACTAAAAAACGGTGTACCTGCCAAGATAGTTCAGCTACCCTACCTGAGTCCAGGGGCTGAAAGATATACAAGACAGAAGAGATTTATCTTCAATAGAGTTTTTCTGAAGAAGACCTACAGTATATTAGGACAAAATATGTGTGATATGCTTTGTTTCCTTTCAGCTCCTTGGCCCTAATTTTGTCAAGAGAGGTAGCCGAATCAATAAAATAACTCAACAATAAAAGATGTAATATGAATATGATAAAACACAATTATGAATATGAATGAGGATATGTATGAACTCTCTTTAAAAACATCTTTGTGGGTAGTCATGTTGTTAAAGTTATGGAGCCTGATTCAAACTGCATATTTTAAAATATACTTCTTCTGAAATTCAAGCACTAACTCCAACTTGCTGGATGTTATATTGCTATGGACACCTATACAGTAATTCTGGTGATTCTGTAAATTACTAGAGGCTTATGGCTGAAACGCAAGTTGCCCTGTCCTAATACAGTAGATCAATAAGCAGTTTGACAAAATGCCCTATTTTTAAATATTTCAATAGGCAATTAAAATTATAAGGATTTTTTTATATGGCCAACGAAAATTGAATTTTGTATTGAATTGAATTGAATTTATACTCTACTTTGGATAAAAATAATAATGCCAAATAGTAAAAGCATGATAAGTTTTGAACAATTATTGAATGAGGTAGTCATACATATTCATATGGAATGAATATTAATATCAGAGTTTTGGGCTGTGGTTTATCGGTTTGGAGGAAATGGAACAGGAAATAAGGGTATCAAATTTAGATATGAATTCTCTAATGAGAGATAGGCATACTGAAATATTTTAAATTACAAAGATACAACCCAAGGTTTTATTCTTACACGGACAAGCCTCAATATTTAACTACAAGTGTGTGAATTCAAAACAATCCCTATTTTTTTTATTTACTTGATTGCTTTTTAGTAAAACTGACTTTTTAATCTTCCCAGTAATTATGTTACATGAAGTTACTGAGCAAAGACAGGGTTTGCAACCAATGCATATACACTGCAGAAATCGGGAATAAAACATGATAGGTAATGAGGAAAAAGATATGGAAATGTGATTTGAATATTTCAAGGAAGATTAGAGCAAAGCAGTCACTTAAATAATGTGGTATTTAAAAGAGCTAAACGGCATAAGAAAATGTTTCCATCAGTTCATAATTGTATACAAATTCTTCATACCTACATGAATTAAATGTTTTAAATTATGAAATAGACTTTCTAGAAGTTTAGATGAAGACAACATCACAATAATGTTCTTTGTTTACCAGTGGTCTACAATTTCCTGACAGATGTCTAGGACCTGGATACATTTTTCCTGGACTCTGCCATATTCATAAAAAAAACTCACAAGTTTACATCCATACAGTGCATACAATGTCTAAAGTGAGTTCATATATATTAATACATTTTTGGGTTCATTCAGATAGTTTGATAAATGTTTATTTTCAGACTTAAAAGAACAAATCTAAAGGGTTTTTGGCACAATATTAGTTAATTGAATTTGGGGTTCCCTTTCTCTACAAGCTTAGGAAATAAAAAAAGAAAATTGTATAGTTGATTAATGATACCTTTCTTTCAATTTCTTCTTTCATTGCAGATCCCAAAATAAGCAGGACATCGTTGATAATGATCATAATGTACCACAAGTTCCAAAACTCAAATCTACCTTCTAAGCTGAGTTCTTTTCCAAATGCTTCTCTGAAAAACTGCATGGTTTCCTGAAATCATTAATTTTCAAAATTATAACACACTTTTCCATAGATTTAAGTTAAATTTAACCTGAAAGCTGAGCTTCGTCTGGAAATATGTAATTTTTCAAGTTTACTCAATTTTAACAAGACAGAGTTAAACCGGTAGACTGAATTAAAAACCTGAGGATAAGCACACGGTCTTTCTGTCTAGGCTATATGTGTAGGTTGTAGTTGAACATGCTGTGTAGGCTGTGTGGGCTATATGGTAAAAAACCCATATTTTAGAAAAAATTATATTTTAATTCCATACAATGTAAAAAATACTATAAAATAATTTGTATATGACCTTCTAAGTATACTTAAGATGATAAAACTTAAAATGGACAGTTATATAGACCAGGGGGCTCCAACCTTTTTTCCTCCAGAGCCACATTTTAATTTTTTATGACGGACGTCATATTTCAACACCAAGAGCTTATCCCCCCCCATAAACCCACAAAGTCGTTAACTAATTAAGAGTAAAGTGGTGTTTTTTTTTTAGAGTTTCTAGCTTATTTTGTATTTGCTATATTCCTTTATAACTGGTTGACTGACTAAAATAACAAGGCCTAATGAAAACACAGGATGACATAAATCTTTCCTATTGAAGATTTTATTGTAATGATTATAAGAAAACTTCACCATATAGAAATTAATTAGTGTAAAGAGTATAAAGAACAGTAGAGAGAATACAGTACTGCAGTTGTCACTTAAAATGTCAGCTAATTTAGGGTTACAATTTGTAGTTCTGATAATTAGGATTGATTTCAAACGTCCATCTAATTAGGCAGATTTTTATTTATATGACTCAGCCACTACTGATAATTTTCCCCTATTAAGAAAAACTTCCAAGTGAGAGACTTATACTATACTCGTATTTAAACTAATTTAGTGATATTTTCTTCATTAATTGAATCTGGTGAGAGCTAATAATTTCAGACCTACAAAAGTTAGTTTTTTTTTCATAACTAGTTTATTTATATTTCAATGAAATTATGAATTTTATATCTAATATTGTACAAGTAACTTTCAAAGTCAGAGTTTTCTTAATAATGTTTTGCGATAATAGATGTATCTAAGATAAACTGTGCATAAACTGTTAAAATAACTAGTTTTTAAATTTGTCTTTTGACATTTTGTCTACCCCAATTTCATTATTGCAATAACCAATTTTCACTATGATCCTTATAGCTCGTTTTTGCAGTTTTAGTATACTAATACTGTCCATGTTTGATTTTGACTTTGAGTGGGACATACATTGAAATGTTTCTAACCAAATCTTCAACTTTGCTGAACAATCAAGTCCCTTTTTCTTTCTGGTAATAAATATTTTTTAGTCTGAAAAAAAAAATACAGTTAAGAGTAGGAACCTGAAGCCTGGTGGGTATCAAGTGTTTTTATTTTTTTTTCGGTCCAAACCCTGGTCTTAATACTACCTAACGTCGACCTTTTTTTATAGCATCATTAATTCACAGCCCAATGAGAAATGGCATCTGGGTCTGGAAGCGATCTCGCATGGATTCAAACCAGCGACCTTTAGATTTGAAGGCAAGCACTATAACCTCTCAGCTAGCCAAACAATTGTGTTGTACCTACTACGATGTACAGTCATGCCACAAGGAGGGTCAGACAACACCGAGGGTTAGATAATCAACCCTCTACTATGCATCTTTTAAAACTATAAGAAACTTTCATATATGGTGACTCGGTTAGAAGCAACTTACAAATTTTAGACATTGAGCGTTGTATATAGCTCGGGAGCAGAGAGCGAGGGATGTGCCACAAACAATGATGACCAGTACGTTGAGAATACTGCGTAGTAAGTAGCCTAGCTGATTGTCATCTGAAAATTATGCATACAAATAAGAATTTATGTGGAATGAGTTTATAAGATCACATGCTAGCTCCCTTTCAGAATTTTGTGTTGCTAGGCAATACAAATATCTTGCATATCTTAGATTTAAGCAACCAAGCAGAGGACTAAAGCAGATCTAACAACCTGGTACAATGAAGCAGTTGACAATTCACAATTTTACAGTTTTTATAAAGGCGAGTAACCCCTTTAACCACAGGATAGTTGATTTGTCAGAATATTGAAACATGACCAACCGTCTGTAGCATTTCAGCTTGCCTTCCGCTAGCATAAATCGTAACATGATTCACTAGTATTCAACCTAAGTTTTTAACCTGCTGCTCACATATCCCTGCACTCTGCAGTATTTTTTTAGCATGTAACTGTTATGTGCTCATCTCTCCCCTATAGTAATCAAAGGTTGCCGGTTCAATTCTTAGAAAAGACAGTTGCTTTTTGATGGTTCGAAATTGGACCCAGCTGTTCTTGGTCATAAGGCTTTTAATAAATGGATTAAGAAACGGCTAATCATAGTCAGTTTCTACAAGATCTACAGATCTACAACGATCATCCCACTTCATTCTACACTCACCTTTCCTGGCCATCTTAGGTAATTGAATTGAATATTGTGTATAATTTATAACCGATGAGAATGGGTCACAGCATAGCATCTATCTTCATATTTTCCTATCTCATAGCTAATTTGTGATTTGTATAGTTTCCTTTTTAGGTCCTAGCTCGGAATAATTTTTTATGTTACTTCAGACTTAGATAAAATCCATTCAGAATTAACCTTTGGGCTTTGAACCCGGGACCTCAAGGACCGAAGTCCCACGCTCTACCAGTAGACCAGCTCACTCCCCAATCTACTCATATAGTATATGTATGTAGTGCCTAGCACTCACTGATATATTCCACATCCCCTTGACACACCAAACGTACTGGATCTGCATCCAAAGATAGCACCATTTGTCCATCCATGTCTTCATTGTTGAATAGTATCTGTAAATATTTAAACAATGTTACATTTGAAAGATTGAAAGCGTAAAGTAAGCGTTTTTATTGATTTCATGTACAATTTTATTGATTGGTTTTAATACGTTTTTATATTAATATATGTATAAAAACATTGTTTGTCTAATGTTTCAATACCCGGAAAGCAAACTCTGTATGTCACCGATCGTGTTTTAAAATCAAAGACACTGACAAAGGGTTAAAAGTTGTTTATCAATGCACTTGTTTATAATTATAAGGTGGAGTAGGATTGATGTAGTTATGGTTACTTTACAGCATAGATTTATTCTGCAAAATATTTTTAAATAAACAATCAACTGACCTATCTATTTTGTCATGTCTACATCTAAAAACCAGATTGCTGCTAATGATTTGTCAATCCAACCATAGTACCGTCAAAATAATTATCTTTAAATTCGTAATTACGTACAAGGCAAACAGCAACAGTATCATTAGAACCTAACAAAGGGCTAACGTAAAGCAATTCTGGAAAATTCATCAAAATCTAATTGTTTCATTATCAAGTTGTTTTAGTTTCACGTCAAACTTTGCATAATCCTCATCAGATTCATCTAACAAAATTTGACTATCATCCATCAATTTATCAATTTCACTCACTTTTTAGCCTTCTTAAACAGAACACAAATTCAAAACCAGGCACAACATTAACACATAGCCTATCAGGTTTTTTAATCATCCAAACAAACCCAAATTGAAGAAAATTAATGCAGAATATCATAAAATCAATGTTTGGTCAACCAAGTGTAAATATCTGTCAGGAAAACCTTGATGCTTGTCTGATAGGCTTGGTACAGTACTCTGGTGACATTTAGTGATAGACAGAAATGCTCTTTGAACTTAAAGCAAAGAGTTAATATAATGATAACCTATAAGCGATTAACGTTACTCTTTTGAACAACAGTAAATTTTTAAATCCCGGAACTAATGAAACTTGTGTGGTGAAAGTAAAAAATGTATTCCACCTGTTTCTTTCATTTCACTTAGCCTGTATTCTAAATATTTGAGAGGCTGGTGCAAAAAACTAACATGATTTGTTAAAGTTAATAATTTGAAGGTTTAATATGAATCAGACGGAAACACAATATCAATCTCAGTACCTAGCTCAGTGGTAGCAGACATTTTTAGTTCTAAATAGCTGCCTGCGTTATCTCATCTCTGGCTTACAATGCAGTCTAACCTGTAATGGTACGTCCCTGTCTTTAGACCACCGTAGAACATTAGGTCTATGGCTGTGGTAAACAATTACTGTAAGGATTTTAACCCTTTGCGGTCGAATGGCGAGTATAGGTCGCCGTGTGCCATTTTCTCAACTGCTCAAATGGTGACCTATATTTGCCAAAAAAAATCCTACCTCAAAGGGTAAATGGTTTTATTCTAATACAGCATTCACTGAGAGTTAAAATGTAATTTTTTTTTAAGTGAACAATATTTCACAATCCACACACTAGTTTCTATTTACCTCGATATCAAACTTGTAACAGTCTGGTGGAGTGATAGGCCCAGCAGCTTTGAAGTTGACTGTTTTTATAGCAAACTTCAGGGAAGCCTTCACCAGAGCTGAGAAGTTTATGGTGATATTGTGCTCCTTAAAAAAGCTTTTGCTTGAGAAATGTTTGGAATCTGAGATATTGAGCAATGGACAGTCTGAAACAAATTTTGAAATTAATGGTGTATCACTAAAACAGCAACATAGTTTATAGAAAATTCAACTGTGAAAATTATGCGGGTACTAGCAAAAGCAGAGCAAGTTGTTTGTCCAGAACAGTGCTCAGGTTGTTTATTACAGTTATAGACAAACGAATAATAGTAACGAGAATATGACAACTTTACAGTAAATTTTTAAAATAATCAATTTTTTTAAGTTTTTTCTTAACTCATCTCAAAAAGAAAAAAAAATACTTCCACACCAACCAACAAATATTCACACACTGTTAACGAGTTTTCCCTTTTCTAAGTCATGGATTGGCAAGCATGTGTACACATATTGCAGGCACTGCAAATACACACATGATTTGCGATTCTTCACATGATTAGTGAGTCTTATTCTAACTCACTCTCCCTCATTTGTCTTTATTCCTTCCTCTTTCCCCGACCCGGACTGAGAAAGCAGTGGGAATTTCCCGTGTTCCTTTAAGCCAGCTTTAAGCAGCCGTGTGACAGGTCACACGGAGCTGGTTTTCTCGCCGCTAGTAACTAGCAGCTAGAACCAGCGGAAAACCAGCATCGTGTGACTGATTCTCCAGCAGCTGGAGGGTTTAAACAGTTTAATGTTACAAGCTCTTGAAGAGTCACTATCAGGTCATGTGACCACCCAGCTGTGGTCTCTAGCACCATTCCAGCTATGTTTGACATTATCAAGCTAGTTCTCGCAATAAGCAAAACGAATTTAAATTAATTTAATACATTTAAACAAATCTATAATAAATTTAAAATTTCATGTTTAGAAATTTGTTCATGCATTGCCGTAATTTTCTCGTTACGATTGTTATATCTCACCTATATTAACTAAATGAATGTGTTTTTTTATGTTGATAAAAGATCAAGTCCTTTTGTTATAGGCCTACCACAACTTATTCGATTTTAATAAGTTAATTTACATGCCCGTAGTAGACAAAATAATAGTGTTTATATGTAAATATTTTATTTTTTTCTTGCACTTTTTACTTCGATGATGGTTGATCATTGACAAAACATCACTTCTAATACCAACATTATTTTAGTAGTTACATCCACTTACATCACCAGCCTTGCAAGTTGTAGCGCTAGTTCTCCAGCTTCGTCTGACAAGACTTCTAGCGCGCTGGAGAAATAGCAACTAAAGCTGCTGGTTCTCGCAGCGAGAACTAGTTGCTGGAACTAGCTCCGTGTGACAGGGGCTTTATTTATACACAAGCCTTCAATTGTCTGCACTTTGGCCTTATAGTGTGTATGATGGAACCTGTGTCCTAAACCTCTATCTACTGGCCAAATTTTTAAGGCCCAGGACTGTCCCAAGGTAGACAGAAGTTCAGGAGACAGATTCAATCTTTTTTACTATAATATGTAGGTTTGAATAGGGCACAAACATAAAAATATTGTAGACCCCTTCATACCCACCATAGAGCCGAGTCAGGGCTAAGAAATAGTTTGGCCAAACTGTGAAAAAAGCAGTTTGACTCCAATAAACATCTTACAACTTATTTATTCTACAGTATTTGAAAGGGGCTAAAATAGCATTTCAGGTTATTTAAAATAACATGTTAGTAAACACAACTGATGATAACAAAGTTAGTGAAACTTATCTGAACGCTACTGACTGAATTGAATCAAAGTGATAGGATATACAGTGTATGAACAGATAACTAAAGATGATTAGGCTACTTAATAGGTTTAGTTGACTTTTCGTTTTAACTAATGATTTAGTTTTTTTTTAGTTGATTTTTTTGTTGGGTTATCAGAAAGAAATTTTATTTTTTTATTTCAAGAAGCAGCCGTATAAAGCCTATTGCAAAAGTTAAGGTTAAATACGAGGGATTCGTCTGTAGACAGGAATCCAGCACCGAAATGATGATTTGTGGTGAAATTAGGAGGAGTCCAATCAAAGACACCAAACATAGAAGTGTTCTAGAAGACTAAGATATCTGAAATTGACATGGGAGGCTTAACATATCTACTGAAATGTAACCCCTTAATAGACAAAAATAGATGACCTCTGATTTACTTACTAATGTCAATCTGACTATTAAAAACGTAGCTTTCGTTGAAACCAAAAATGATGCCTTCCCTGTAGTTGGATATGCAGAGTTCAGGTGTATCCATGGTGTTGTTCTCATTGGTGTATGAATACGGCCCAATAGCATCCGACAGGCTGGCATACTGTCAACAAAGAGAAACTTGTTAGTACAGAGCAAGGCACAATGTTCAGAACTATAAGCAAAACTGAACTATGAATTATCAATTTTTAATCTAGCAAAAACTATTCTTGTTTAGTTTTATAAAATCATGGTGCAATTTTTATTCAAATTCATGTTTTAGCCCCTGAGCTGTGATATAATTAAATATCCCCGCCACAGCAAACCTGCAGACTAAGCAAATTTCTATTTACCTGGCTAGATTTCTACTAAAATATTCCCTTATGCCGATCATGCAAACTATCCGATGGTTCGCAAACTCGTTTGAATAAACGTAGGTGTATACGTTTGTACAAAATCAAAATTAAAAAGTAAATCGGTCCCGGGTCCATGAGACCAACGGTAATAGGTTATTCCTTATATGGGAAATTTGCTAAAATAGGTTTTTACCTTTATCAACAGCTCAATGCAATGTAACTTAGGTTACGGCCGTATCGGCATTACAATGCCATCATCAGACACAACAAAAATTTAGCTGAAGCAGCGTCGTCACAGTTAAATCTTTTTGTTCTTGATGATGGCATTGTAATGCCAAAACGGCCGTAGCCCTAGTTACAACCCATTGAGCTCTTGACAAAAGTGAAAACCTATTTAAAGTGATTTTTATAGTGTGAAACACTGTTATGACAATAACCGAGGAATTCACACTGGTACCCCTTGCATCCTATGGACTCAAGTTTTGTTTATATTCAAAAACAGCTTTGTTGACTGTTGTGACCAATTGGTGACCGGATACACTCAAACGAGGTGGATTGCGGCAGGTTGCCCAAAGCATGGCCTCCAAGAGGCCCAAACTTGACTTCTGGAATTTTTTTTACTTTAAACCCAGACAGTATAATAGGAACCCCTAATTTTGATTCATCTCAGAGAAATAATCTGATTGTACACTTTCCACTTTTGGTAAATGTTGTGCAGCATGTGGGTTAAAATAGACCATAAAATATTTCAGTACAAAACAAAAACGGTGAAACAAAAATGGTGGTCATGGTAAAGTGTATAGCTGTGTCCAAAGTAAAAAAATAAATACAAATATTTTGTGTCATGTATTTTGTTTTATTTATTTTTTAATAACTAACTTCTAGCATTATACAATCAAAATCCTGTATGTATAATTTCCTGATCATAGATTTTAAGATTTTTTTAACCACTTTCAAATATAATCATTATCAGAATGTAAATTCATACGAAAACAGGCCAACACATTTTACTCAGCAGTTTACTAATAACGGTGATCTATCAATACCAGTAATACTATCTTTGTGGCTTGATATTCATTAATCTTTCATCCCAGTATGGTAACTGATAGGAATACTATAGGAATGAATGAGCTTCTTTGTTGGATGAACTCAATGCATTTATGATTGACCTGCTTTAAACCAACGCATTTTGGTTGGGAGGATTTCTCAATAGTTTTTAGTTTTTACTTGTGTATAACCATAAAAACACTGAATAACTTTTAGTCTGATTGGAGACCATAAAGTATAATCGAAGATAATTTGTTATGCAGTGGGTAACACGCACTGAAATAAAATATGAATATTAGGATTACAGTTTATGGTTGATTGATAATAGTTAATATTAGATAGATTACTAGAAAATAAAAATTATTACTTTAAATCAACGTCTGTAGGCCTATATAAACATGTTGGAATACAAAGCAAACGAAAAATAGCATTAATAAAATAGGTTAGGCTATAAAATTAACTTCATAAAGACTTAAACATCTTTCTTAAACTCACCCCAACAACAGCATAATCTAATGTGTCATAGAAATCATCTTTGTTGTAAATTGCAAACGGTCCTAAATTAGGAGGGTAAGCGTTGACCTCCCTTTCTTCTGTCCAACCTTTGAGAAAAAGATGTGAAAAAGAAATACGATTATCCCACGTATAGTTCACATGATTATATCTACTGTGGGCGAAGAGACAAAGCTGAAAACAAAATCACATATTAGCCATAGACTCATAAAATTCACTTCCAACTTTTAGCATGATTTACAGTTTTTGAGTTTTTTAAATTATTGTCAACAAAAGTGACAAATTATACGATGGGTAAACCTTTTAGGTATTTCTACATATTCTATATTCAAACTAGAGCGTTAATCATGCATGGAACAAAACTTCTTTAACTTTGACGTCTAAAACAGTCGTCTATGATGACTACTACTTGTTTGCATCATTGTGCAAAATAGTTTTTGCAAATGTTGTTGTCACTAGTATTTTGAATAAAGTTTTCATTAGGGAACAACTTTGTTGGGTTCCGTAATAAGAACTAAATTCATATGGTTAATTTTTTTAATATTTCATCTTAGTTTGTGGTATCAGTTCATCAGTCGTATGACTTACTACTGTGGTGCTTCATCTATTTAAATCATAAACCAGCTTCCATTATTTCACTTTTAGCTATTGCATCATATAAGCCAATAGTATGTGTTAACTTACTATATCCTCTAAGAATTCATCCACAATACTAGATCAGAAGAGAATTGTTTAACAATCTTCATAGGTAGTTTTGAACTTGGAGTTTAAAAAATTAGTGGTACTGTATGTTAAATATAGGATTATACAGCAGTTATCAACTCAATTTAGCATTATAGATTTAGATGTTGTAAAGGAAATTGTATTTTCTTCACATTATATTTTATTGTAGGTACCCTATTAGGACAAATTTTCCTAAAATACAACAAATAAAAAATAGTTGACAATGAATTGTGTAGTAGGCTACAGTACTAAAAATTAATCCGTTAAACTTCATCAAATAAATTTGATGAAATTCTTGCTCCTAAACTACATTATCTGTTTACTATATCAATAACTAAATGAGAGTAAATATTAGTTTAATCCCACAAGTTTTCCGGTAACAATTTTGGGGGCAAGAGTTCTGGTCGCGTAAACAAAAGGACCGTTGATAAAGATTCTATTCAGTTTGACTATTGATAGTAAAAATCACTGGTTAAACAAAAAAAAAAACTTCAAACAGATTAAACTAAACTGTGATATTATATAGGTAACTGTGAAATTTAGCTTCACACGGATCAATAAACAGTATTATATAAGTAGCAACAGAATTGTAAATACCGGTACCCTTGTTTCAGTAAACCTGCAGACTAAACCTATTTAAATTCAACTCTGGTTCTTTATGAGGTTTTTATTCAACCGGTTTTATAATAATTGGAGATATATGTTTAGATCCCCACAAGAACTCTTAAATGAAATCAAAACTAATTTTTTTTCTTACAGTCACCCGACAAAGTGGGCTCCCTTGCACAGATTATAGTACAGAAAGCCAAAGTAGGCGCACAGTTTTTACTTTGGTGCATACCAGTATTCCAGACCAACCAAACAACACAAAACAGCGTGCTTTTATTATACTGTACACGTAATCCGTGTACGCTTGAAAATAAGTTGGCATCACATAAAGATATTACGACTACAATCAGCTGGTGCAGCGTTTCCCATTTCGTTCAGTGTTTGGATTTAACCTAACCAAAAAATGTGTTGTACAGTGTTTGGAAGACTAACTATTTATATGATTTATAGTAACTGTAGGAAAAATATAATGTGTAAACACGAGTGCAAACTGACTTTGCTGCACTAGAGAAACTTTCCACACTCGCCTACGAAACATTTCTCTTGTGTGCAGCAAAGTGCTCCTTTGCCCACTAGTTACAAAAATAACTATTGTCTTCTTCTTAGCAGTAAACCTGAATAGTCACGAAGCCAAGATGTTGTTTAGGCTTCCTATACCGGGTGTGATCCTAAGTGTTAAAATCCTTCTCCTAAACTTTTTTCAATACAAAATCAACCAAGCAGCTGGAAATTTATTGATCTATGGAGAGATATTTGTATTTATACGCTATGATGTGTTGGTTATTAGACTTGCCAGTGAACAGAAATACTGCAAGTAAAGTTGAGGTTTATATTGATAAGATGCACTGAGCTATAATTCTAACTGAAGGTAGCACTGAATGTCAAAGATGCGTGTCGCCAGCCGCCATGTTTGCGTGAGGCGGGTGTCATAAGAAGCCATGTTATTGCTATGACAAGAAAACTCACTGCTATACCAACCTAACAAAATCAGCGACACGCTTTTGACAGACTTCTGCCATGGCAGTGCTACCTCCAGTTATAATTTTAGCTCAGTGATAAGATGTTTATGTTTTAGTTTGGAATTAAACTACACTTTTTAATATTGATAAGAAAAGATAGAAGTCAGGACATAATCAATAATCATACATCATAAATGTTTATAGTGACATATTCTGTGTTGCTTCATTATATGAGAAAATCCCTTAATCAGTGTTTGTACAAATATTTGTGGTGGGAACACTGATACATGGAGTAGTAGCCAAATAAACAAATAGTAGCCTATACGCATACGGTAATGGAATATACCGCATGAATTAGAAAAAAAAACACTAAACAAATTATTTTGGAATTACATAAACCTGAAATATTATTTAAAACTTTGTAATTTATGTAATTCAATAATATGTTGAGGGGTGCTAAAGTACAGTAGCTAAACATTATTAGCTAGTTTGTCTTTATCTTCGGCTGCATACACATTTTACATAAACCCCTAACAATTTCTTTTCAATAAATGTGATGTGGAAAGCCAAAAGGGACCTCTTGTGGGCGATGCAAAATATTCAGTACAGCCGATATAAGTAATTAAGGTAGAAAATATTGAAATCCCGGGTTTTTATCGATTGTTATACCTCATTTAACATAGAACAGGACAGTATCGGTTAAAATATTGAATCAAAGATGTAAAAGGTCAAAATAAATCATTTTGTTACCCTCTGCATGGTCAGAGAAAAGGTACCTCTTGTCGCTCAATGTTATTTAGCCAAAACCACAAGAGGTCTCATTTCTAATGTTCACTTTATAAACAGACTTTAGTACAAAAAATGAATTGTCTTGCATTCTAGTGGACATTTAGAGAACTACAACCAGGTTCAGCTTACGGAGAACAAAATATCTCAAAAATTTTGCAGTCTTGACAAGAGATACCTTTTTTATGTTTTGGAGAACAAGAGGTCCCTTTTCTGAAATGTGATTTTTACAACATGCTTCGATAAAACAATTATTTAAATGAACACTACGGTGAGTTAAGACAAAATTTGGCATTGCCTTCAAAGAGGACGGAGGGAGGAGGGGGTTATAAGCTTTCTTTTGATACCAAAATCGTTTCTTAAATTTAAAAAAAAAACTGTTTTCATGCATATTTGAAATTGGCAAATAGTTTTTCTCAAAATAACCCTTTTCCATAAAAAAATTTCAAAGTCCTATAACTTTAACAGAAAAAATCGTAGATGCATAGGACTTGCACAAAGTGATTCGGATTTTAATAAGGAATTCAAATATATATATATATAACTCAAAATTGAAAAATCCCGATTAGAGGTCCCCTTTTTGCCTTCCACATAACAAATGTATTGTGTTGTGTAACAATAGTACCACTTATATTAACAATGCATGTTCTTGCATACCTATATTTTCATCTAAAATTAACAGCTTTAAAAGAATAATTTAAAAATTAAAATCCTACTGTAAAATAATTAATGGACAAAAGCAATTGTTGGTTTCATTCAGGCTAAAAGTTACTTTTGCTATATCGTAGGCTTGCTACATTATTTTATTGATCAATATAACTCATTGAAAGTACATGACATGATGAGAGGTGGGTCATCAGTCTATACATTCTCTAAATGTGGAAAGGAAGGTCCTTTTTTAAGATTGTGGGCACAGTAGTTTTTATTCTTTTCGCTGTTTAAAATAATTTATATCTATTATGACTGACACCAGCTGATTCTGGATCTCTAATAGCACTCAGGTTTACTCATGTGGGTAGATTTTATAGGGGCTCTTAAAAAAGACTTTAGATGAGGGTGAAATGGTGTGGGTGTGAGTGCATTGGGTTTTCAGTTAGCTTTACACACAGCCCACAGCTTTGAACTGCAGTCACTCCCAAAAGGTTACAACAATTATATAAAAAAATTTCTTCCCTTGGCTCATCAATATTCCATTACAACAAGATAAGAGCAAACAAAATAACATTAAACAAAATTAACAAGCATTTGAAATCAAAAGTAACCAAGGTCGATTTCAAGTATTTCAACAGATAAAAAAAGTTAAGTACAGAAAAAAGAATTTGAGTGCTTATCCATACAGGGGTATATTAACATTACTTATTTACAAACAAATGTTCTTACCTGAGTAGTAACTAGTAGTATCTTGAAAACCTGAAGCAAAAATTTGTATGGGAAACGTCTTCTGGCATGCCACTTTTCAATCGGATTCATAAAGAAAAATCTAAGTTTTCTTCTCATTTTATTCACATCATTCAGTCTGGGTGTTTCCATGCTCTCGGTTGGAGAATCATTGCGCATAGAAGAATGAGCTCCTGGCATGAGAGATTGGTACTCTAAAACATCAGCAAATGCATGAGGCCGTTTAAAACAGTATATTATACAAGGTTCACAATGTGAAATGTACCGGAGACCTCACAATGAAATAGAGATAGGTATTAAATTAGGCCCTAGCCTATAAGAATATAAATATGTGTTATTTATAATTTTAATTTATTTTAATTGAGAAATGAGTGCAAGCTTTGGATATGAATGTCTTCAAGCTGGAAGGTTGAATTATACAGCCTACTGAAGTTTTTACATGCGTTAACTACATTTAGCTTAGTGAAAACAAGCTTTATAATAGGAAGGTCATGTTCCCTCAAATCAGATCCCACCATCCTTTAGAAGAGATATTGATGAACAACATTGCATAAAAACGTTGCTATTTATGTATTTATGTAACATTTGGAAATACAACATGTTGATGTCACACCATTTGTTGCCAACAAAGCTGTGCTACCCTTTTAACAAGGCCCCTAACAGTTCAAGATTAATTCCCATGTTCAGGTCCACTATGTTTACACCATCAACTACTTAATCAACTACATTTTGTAGCCTATGTAATAAGTTAGTCATTGTTGTTTTACCCTAATTTTATACTCGTTAAAAAAGTTAGGCCAACATTAAGTAACTGTTGATTTTTATAGGTTTCACCTAGTTAATCATGATCAAGCATTCAAATTAAAGGCGTAAGTCGTATGTGAAACATTGACAGCTATCAATCTGCTTTTAAATTTCAGCACCTTGTTACTCTCAGACCAGCTGAGACTCTCTTTGTTTTATAATTTTGAAAAGATGAAAAGTTCCGATCACCTTACTGATCCAGATCAGTCGATCTCAGACACTGTCGCGACCCGTTCAACTGACCTGGTAAACCAAAGCTATTGATTTCATTTTGTTTGTCAGTTGACCTACCTTATTATAGTTTGGATCACGGATCTTTGGTTTGTTTTGACGGATACTGATATTGAACTAGGCCTTTAATAATAATGATAGTTATGAAAATGATAAAAATAGGTACATTTCAAATAAAAGAAAATACCGTAGGCTACACAATTAGTGTTACTTAGCCTATAGGCTACTTTATTCATTTTTTGGCACCTTAACATGTAGGCCTACAACTAAAATCATGTTTTACTTGTAATAATTTGTACATAAGGTACCGCAAGTTGGCCTTACTTTTACAAACCTTGACATACGACTCTACCGGTTAAATCGATTATCAATGATGTATGAATTTCAGCAATATACAAGTGGGCTGTTGTAATCCACTTGATTTGTTTCCATAAACCACCTCTAACACCTCCTTTTTACAATAGGTAGTATTAATAGTAAAAATAAAACTGCGGAGACTATGAAAATGGTTTTTAACGTGTAGCTTATGCCCAGTTTAATTCGCTTCCATTTTGTTGTGGACAGAGGTTTAAATGTACATAGAGGTAATCACGACACGAATCATGAATTATCGGGTCAGTCAGTTCTTCAAACTCCTCAGTTCCAGTCACCAGTCATCTCAGTGTAGTTCTTAGAACTAAAGATCGATGAACAAAACAGAGTACCTATGTGAACGGATTTTTTTCGGTCGTTGTGATCCGAATCACTCGTTCACTTGGGTGGCCCGTTTAAATCAAATGGGTTCTGACCAAGCGCCTAACCTCTAGACAGGATGAAACCAATTGCAAAATCACATTGCTTCATGCTCATAGACAGGATGATAATTAATAGGTTTAGAAAGATTTTTTTTTAAATATGTGTCAAACACTCTTAATGTGAGCGGTTTAAACCTGTACTACGGAGCTCAAGATGTATCGTAATTGACACGAAACACGTACTGCAGAATTCAACTGGTGATTCACGGGGTACCGAAAAAGGTAAATTATCTTGATTAATAACGAATAAATTAGAGAAAACTACAACAGTAGTACCGGTAAAGGGTACAGTTTCTTACAGTGGTAGCAAAACGGGAGTGCCGATGGAGACCAGGTCAAGTCCCTTCAAACGCACGCACCCCCACAGGTCTCCATCGGCACTCCCGTTTTGCTACCACTGTAACTGGGCTATGCTAATTTCAATTGAAACTATCGATTCGATTAGTAGGCCTAAACCTTCATGCGATTTTTTCACCATCAGCTCAAGTTTGGTTGGTTAGGTTAGGTTATGATAGTTTAATTTTATAATAGATATATTTTAAAGGGTGCAGTTCCTTAACTGGGCTACGCTAATATTGATTGAAACTTTCATGCGATTTTTTCACCATCAGCAAGTTTGGTTGGTTAGGTTAGGCCCCGTTTATGCACCAAGAGCGGGAGCGGTAGCGACAGCGGAAGCGATTTCTAACACCATTGAGTTAAATGGGGCTGTTTATGCACGAAGAGCGATTGCGATAGCGGTTGACCTCCCGCTGCGGTTTCTAATTCGCCCGCTGTGTAGTTAGAAATCGCAGCGGTTGCCTGGAATAGAGCGGTTTTCAACTACATTGAGTCAAATGGGACTGTTTATGCACGGCGGGAGCGGGAGCGGTTGTAGCCAGGGTTGCCAACTTGACCCACGCGCACGTGCACTTAGGACAAATAGTTGAGTTAATTATTTGGCAGAGTTTGAGTTGGCAAGACTGTGTCCCCCTTCCATTCTCCTTTAACCGACCGCTACCGCTATCGCTCTTCGTGCATAAACAGACCCATTCACAGCCGGATCGCTCCCGCTCTTGGTGCATAAACGGGGCCTTAGGTTATGATAGTTAAATTTTATAATAGATATATTGTTTCAATCGATATTAGCATAGCCCAGTTAAGAAACTGTACCCCCGGTAAACACCGAGCGAGCAAGACAAAATAGTTCATCATTAAGATGGAGATAGGTTTAAATGTCTTAACATAAAGCATATTTTACCTTCCATTGGTTCCTGCCATCTACTATCTTCTTGAAAACTTTGATTTGGACTAGCAGTACTGCTCATTCTAAATGTATTACCGTATAGGCCTAGTGATGTACAAAAATATCAAAATATGTAACTTATCTTAGTCCGTAATAGCACTTTTAACACAAATATAAAATCTTCAATGTGTTAACTCCAAGATCCATTTAGCAACATTACAGTGAAGTGAAGCTCTCTCTTTCTTCTTTCCAATTCATTACCCTTTATTCTTATCAATTCAGTGCAACATTTAGGTTTGGCAAGATAAGACAGGTACAACACAAAGCAAAATTATAATTGTCTAAAAAAAAACACAAGGAAATGGAAAACTTATGTCAGAACATAAGATAACTTACAACCAAAAAATGTACTACTGTATGACAATTATTGACAAGACAAGACAAACTAATTAGGTTACCACAACACAAACGGTAAACGGAATCACAAAGTGAATCGAATATATTATTATACTATAGTACAACGAACATATGATTGATTGATTGATGACAGGAGAGAAGAAACATTACACAACAGCTGCTGTGTGTGCCACTTTTGCCACTACAATCATCTGTGAAGTTTGTCTAAAGATACCCTTAACCAGTGAAATCATTGATTAATGATTATATAATATTCAATTCAATTCAAACAATTTTATTCATGCAATTCTTAAATTAATTACATAATCCCATGTGCCATGCAAAGTACGCGCGGGATGAAAAACACATTTTTATTAATACATCTCATTTTCTTGTTTCTGGCAGCAAACAGTTCATTTTTCCGTCTTTATCACTTTTACAGAACAGTGAGTAGACATTTCCTATTGCAACAGTTTTAATCATATAAATAATACTTGTGTTATAATAAACAAATTAGAATAAATTTAATAAGAACACGCTTTTGTTCGTGTTCGTAAAGAATCTTCATAACTCTAGGAATAAGAAGGATTTTCCAAACTACTTGGTAAAACCATAGATAAAACATATGTGTTATATATGGTATAACCACAGAGAAATATTATACATTACATAGGATATTCTATGATAGGATAAAAGCTTTATGGGACAACCGTGCGTTTTTAGCTCTGGTACGTTAGGGCGAAAATGTACTTTTTTGTAACGAGCCAGGCATAACCCGAACAGTGATGGGGAAGTGAGGTTGGGGCGACGAATATAATTTCCTCTCTACACACAAGCGACTGGTACTAGGCACAACTTAAGTTTACCATTGAATGTATCCTTTCTCTGTTTCTTACTCCTCTGTGGTAATATAATACAGCAGGCCAACCAACACGTAAAGTATACTTCTCATCCCATTGTAAAATCTTAAGCTTGTTTTTCATGTTGTTAGCACCGGGCCTGGACACTACCACGGCCGCCTTAAAGGCGGCCGTGGCACTACTGTCACAGAAGGTTTGTTTACATTATATTTTATGGTTACCGGTATTTTATGATTTGTACTTTACTTTTTGGTTATATAACCAGGGCACGGACTATGGTTTACTGTATTATTAAATTGTTCAATTGGTTAAATAAGGTTTTAAATTACTGTAATAAAAATACCCCCGCCGCAGCAAACCTGCCGACTAAGCGAATTTCCATTTGTCTGTTTAGTTTATTAGTTAAATATATTTTAATAACATTAGGTTTAACGAGTACCTAGGTTTGCTGCTACAAGGAAACTAATAAAGTGTGTTTTTGAGTAAAATATTAATAGCTTAGTACAAAATAAATAAATTTGCCAAGTTTGATCAAAATATATCAATAAACAAGCAAACTACAACATTTGACAATATTCTCAATAAGAATAACATGGGAATTTTAAATTTACAATTTCTTTAATTTTCTCCGTTACCAATAATCGAACAAAAATACTTTTATATACTAAATTATTTGTTTTTTTAAGCTCTTTAAAAAGGTCTAAAGAGAAATCGGAAAATTTTGTGTTTTGAGGGTCAAAAGTGAGAAAAACCAATTTTTACCCCATAAAACCCCCCGTAAAGCCCCGTTCTCATCATCCGATCGTGCTGGTTCGCGAACTCATTCAAGTTTATCCCGCTTTACACCTTTAAACCAAATTTCATCAAAATCGGACAAAAATTACTCAAGTTATCGCGTTCACGGACGTATATATATATATATATATATATATATATATATATATATATATATATATGTCTATATATATATACATATATAAAAATTTTAACGAATGGTGTTTTTGGCCTCTGGGGACATCAAAATGAAAAAGTAAATCGGTCCCGGGTCTAGGTCTTACCGTGCCACCTACGGTAATAGCTACTTCCCTATAGGGAAATTCGCTAATAAACAAATTGTTAGCAAAAACACGCCCCTAGAGGCATCGGACGGAACTAGCCTTCACTAATTTTTAATTTTGTAGAGTTGTCCTCCGACCCATTAAAACCAGGCTGAGAATAACTACGGACTCGCATACAACAGCCATATTTAATCATTTTTAATTTAACAAATTTTTATTGTATCAATGTATGTATAGTAACGTTTTTGACAAGTGCAAATTTTTGTAAATATATATATATATATTTTTAAGAGGCTGGTGGCCTCTTTTTAACCTTGCATTTTCCCGTCCACATAGATTACAGATCTGAGCGTAGAACGTATACAGCAAAGCAAGGGGTGGGCCGGTACAGTACAAAGGTGAACTGGTACTAATAAAATGTTTGTGGCAGTCACCAGGATCCGAAACCACGACATCGCTGCCTTGGGCCTGAAGTCCGTGACGCTACCAACTGAGCCACCGACTCACCAAACTTAATTTTAATTTAATTAATTTTTATTTATTTATTTATTTTGTAACTTAGTTTTAATGAGTAGTCCATCCAAGAAACTTCGGTCAAAGATTAAGACAAGTAACATCAACATTGGCTTCAGCTGACGCATAAGGATGTGACAAATCTACTAAGGCCTACTAAGAGGCCTACTAAAGCCTACTAATCTACTAAGGGGTTACAGTATGTTTATTTCGTGGTATTTACGCTTGAAATGAACCTTTTGGTTCAATTAAAGTGGTTCGAATACCTGTAATGTCGATAGTCCAAGTGGTTGTGCAACAACTAGTTTTGGCTCACAATGGAGCCTTCTTCAGGTTTTTCGCAAGCACATTGTCGATTCTTCTGAAGGTCGTCAAAGTTCATAAAACATAGAAAACATTTAAAATACACACACAACACGCATGACTATAGGCATAGCTTTAACGAACGACGCGACCGGCGGGAGTTTACGTCAAGACATTCTTTCGGTTCAATCAAAACCTTGGTATCCTGAGAATAACCCGATCATTCAACAATACAAGTGCCTCCACAGCAAAATTGCAGACCACGCGCAAATTTCAATTTGTCAGATTGGATTTTTACAAAGTATTTCCATAAACAAGACATATTTATTCAACATTTAAATAACACGCTATATTTCACCATAGACAAAAAGAATTACATTTCACTAATACTTAGGTTCGCTGCTACGGGGAAGGAAGAAGGTGTTTTTTTTTTCTAAATGTTAATAATCTAGGATGAAATAAATCAACTTGCCATGTTTTAACAACTCAATAACTCATTTATTTTGCTATATATAACAATAACAACATTCATAAACAACAAGCAACCCACAACAGTTTTCTTTTTATCCGTAAGAATAACATAGAAATCTTAAATGTACAGGTTATTTCCGTAAACTTTAATTTTACAACAACGCTTCAATATACAAAATTATTGTTTTTTTAAAGCTGTACTTGACGGTTGAATTGAAAATCGGGCAATTTCGTAGTTTAAGGGTGACATTTTAAAAACCCTAATTTAGAACATTTAAAACCCCCCTTAATATCCCGTTCCCAATGTTCCCATGACCCGATCTCGCTGGCTCGTGAACTCATTTAGTTTATCCTTTCAAGCCAAATTTAATCAAAATCAGAACAAAGGGGCTCGAGTAATCACATTCACGGACACACACATATTTATTTAAAGCCGTGTTAAGTCTCTGGTGACAGCCTTGGGTTTAAGGTTTAAGGTTGTTTTTTTCATCTCTGGAAACAGCCTCAAACCCTCCAACAAACTAGCAAAAAGCCAATCCCCTAAAAACAACCAAGCCCAACCACTTAGAATACTCCACAATATACAGAGAGGCCTACAAAACAAATTAGATAAAATACAAATTGAAATTCAAAAACTCAAACCCCACATATTGATATTATCTGAACACGGACTAAAGGAAGAAAATCTACTGCAAACTCACATTGAAGGCTATATTTTAAATACCTACTTCTGCCGGAAAACCCATTTATGGGGCGGAATCGCAATTTTTTTAGACACAAAAATACAAACTCAAATAAATGAAATCAAACTTAATGGATTAAGTAAGCCTGAAGAATGTCTATTTGAAACAATAGTAATTATAACATTAAACTAAAGACAGACAACATCCTACTTCTGACAACCTACAGATCACCTAGCACAAAAACCGCAGACTTTCTGGAAAAACTCGATTACTCTTTGCAACAGCTCATAAAAAGGAAAACAAACATACTAATCATAGGGGATACAAATTTTGATATAACTAAAACTCAAAATCCAGAAATAATAAGATCTTTCGAACCTCCTCAGTGAACATGGATGCTATATCTACAACATACCGCAAATAAGAACCACAGCTACAACATCCACCAGCATAGACGGCTGCTATACAAATTTAGAACAAAATAGAATAAAAGTTTCAGCTCTCAAAAACCCAATATCAGATCACCACACAATTGTATGCGATATATTAGATAAAATATCAATTCAAGACCCCCTGTACAAAAGTAGTAGAAAATACACCGACCATAATCTGGAGGAAATGGAGAACCTACTAAAACAGATCGACTGGACACCCGTTTATACCCAAAACCAAATTGACAACAAATACAATGAATTCCTAAAAACCCTGCTAATTAACCTTGACCAAGCTATCCCCAAGACCGTCAGAAAAATACAATACAGGAAAAACACCATATTCTGGAACGAAGACACTATCTCAAAAAGAAAACAACTGCAATCTGCGCAGAACAGATATGAACAGAGTGGCTGTACTCAAGATAAAGAAAATTATTATAAGATAAAAAAGAATACGACCAACTCATTAGATCACAGCGCACAAAACACACAATAAATAAAATTGAAAAATCAGACAACAAAACCAAGGAAATATGGAGAACCATAAACGCAGAAAGGGTGAAGACAGTTAGAAACCAAACCAACATAACCCTACTACATGACAACAGGAAAATCACAAACCCAACTGAAGTTACAAGTATTTTAAATGATTTCTTTATAAACCCAATAGAAGAACTAAATCATAACAAAGTGAACTGCACTACAGATATTGAACAAATTGAAAACACAACCAATACACCATCTCTTTCAAAATTTAAATGCATATCAGAAGATAAACTAAAGAAACTTTTTACCCATATCAAGTCCAACAATGCTGCGGGCTATGATGAAATCACGGGAAAGCTGCTTAGGTACTGCAGAGAAGAAGTAACGGAACCTTTACTCCATATAATCAACACCTCACTCAACAAAAATCAAATACCTAAAAACTTAAAAATATCTAAGATTCACCCAAAATTTAAAAAAGGAGACAAAGAAAATCCTGGAAATTATAGGCCCATATATAACTTACCAACAATATCCAAACTATTAGAAGAGAAATATACGACCAAATCATTTATCACCTAGAAACAAACAACCTACTCACAAACTGTCAACATGGCTTCCGGAAGAAACGAGGAACAAATACCGCAATTGCAGAACTCTGCGAAGACATAAAAAGTATTTGGGAAGACAGAAAAAATGCATCGGGACTTTTCTTGGACCTTCAAAAGGCGTTTGACTCATTGGACTGGGATATACTTCTACAAAAGCTAAAAAAGTACATATTGAAGGAGAAGCATTTGGCACTAATAAAAAACTATCTTGACCATAGGTACCAATAATATGTTGAAACCGATCAGCAAGTGAACAACAAAATTATAACAACCAGATCACCCCTTAAACAGAATACAAAAGGCATTCCTCAAGGCTCCATACTTGGCCCACTTTTCTTCCTGATATATAAAAATGATGTACCGGAAAAATTGTCAAAAGAATTCAAATGTATTCTATTTGCAGATGATACCACCATAATAATACCTACAGATAGAAATAAAAATAACCAACAACTCATAACCACAGCAGTAGAACAAGCAACAACAATATGCAACAACCTAAATTTAAAACTTAATACCAGTAAAACTACACACATTAATTTCAAACCAAGCAACAACCTAGAAGATCAAAGCGACTGAACCAACATCAGTATCACAACGCAAGAAACCACTAAATTCCTGGGAATAATTGTTGATAAAAATTTATCCTGGCAGCAACACATCGAACATCTGTGTAAAAAACTGGCCTCTGCACACTATGGCATCAAACGAATTCGCACCATAACCGACGAAGAAACCTCCAGAATAGCCTACTTCTCGCTTTTTGCTTCTCACCTGAGTTACGGAATTGCAACATGGGGATCATCATCTGCAAACAATATGGACAAACTACTTATTCTACAAAAGAAAGTACTACGGACGATATGCAGGACACACTATCTGGAACATTGTAGACCCCTATTCATCCAGCTCAAAATCCCCACTGTTTTCTCACAATACATCCTAGAAACCATAATCCTAGCAAAAAAAAATCCAATCCAACACTCCGGTCACATTATCATAATCACAACACCAGACACAAAAACAATATAAACCTGCCACAACACAGACTAAAAAAAATCAGCAACACCCCAATACAGGATCCAAATACATAAATCTTCTGCCAGAAAAAATTAAAAACATTTCAAATCATACCACATTTGTAAAGACACTAAAAAACTACCTTATTAACAAACCATATTACTCAACTAAGGAATACATACAAGAACACACTTATACACACCTACACTGGGCTAGCTGAAAGGCTGCCAAGAAGATGAAGAAGGAGAAATTTTGACGACTCCCCGATCTGAGGATTGTGGTGAAGAAAGAAGAGGTAAAAGGTAAAAGGTGACATCAAAATCAAAAAGTAAATTCGTCCCGGGCCGGGCACAGGTCTTGATGTCTTACCGTGCCACCTACTTCCCTAATGGATACTTCCCTAGGGAAATTCGCTGAAAGTAATTTAACCTTTTTATTTAGACAATTTTATTTCTTTTAAGTTTACTGTGTCTTTATACGAAGCTTTATTAGCATCGCTTGATATAAAATGAGTGAAACAATTATTATAAAATTCTATAAAACTGATAAAAACAAGCCATTATGAATAAATAGATTTTGTTTTAAATAAGGAAAATAGAACTGAAATATAGGAATTTTGATATCTTCAGAAAATATTATAAGGACACTTAGATGTCTAAACTCATAATAAACATATTATATAGTACGTCATTTTTATCAGCAGTTCCCTTCGTATACTAAAAAAAGTAGCCGGATGTTCCCTTCTATTCTCAGTCTCTTGTTTCGTTCCATATGTTTGTGTATTAGTTGAAGATCGCTCGATTGCGCATGCGTTAAAGTCTTTCGTCACGTATAGCCATTTTTGCTAAACACAAGTGTTTGCTTTATATAATTTAAAGTATTTCTTCTCATTAATGTCAGAGCCACAGTCCGCTCTCCTATTAAGAAAACAGCTCGCAGGTATTGTGCAAAAATTATGAAAATATGTTTAACTTTACTCAGTATTTACCATTTAAACCGAGATGGCTAATACCACTCCACCATTTTAATCTCTCTCAGACAAAAACTACCTTACTCATGTCTGTGACAATTTTACTTTACAATAATTAAGTAATTTAAATATATATTTCTGTTAGGATATCTAGTTAATTGGAGTATTTTTATCCTTATTCTAGTTCAGAATTTGAACAGGTAACTTATGTTGGTCAATGTGTTTTATTGTCTCAATAAAGTCATCAGTTAGGTGGTATAATAGGCAAGTATAATATAGATTTTGGTCCACAAATTAATTCGAACTATTTCTTTTGGCCTCTCTAGATAAACTGAAATTGAGTTTTCATTTGCACTAGGCCTACCACCACATCTATAGCCTTGACATAGGTATGCTCAGAGGCTGAGATGAAACAATCTTTTTAAGCACCACATTGCTCTATTAGGTTATGAAACAAGAACCACATATGGATAGCCTATAATCATGGTCCTCAAAATAGCAGTGTCAGCATACCAACTCATTAAGATGTACTGAACATGCTGTCCAATCATGTTTTAATCATGATAAGCCCAAGGTTTTTTTATCTGATCTTAAGCAATGCATTGGAAATTAGCATGGTAACTTAGTTGAGCAGTTGTCACTTAAATGCCTAGGGTATTAGATTCAGAGATATGCTACATTATCCTTTGTCTTATCCAATAGGCTATAACACTGAGGGTCTAAAAGTCACTTCTAGGAAAAAGTTTATCGGCACTTTGATTGCCAAGTTTGCAGTTAACTTAGGCCTAAGTTAGGACTGAAAAATCCTACGTAAGTTTAGGCCTACTGATAATTAACTTAACTTAATTAAAATTGGTTTTCTGAATGGCCAGTTAGCAATCTGGGCTAAACTTAATGCACATTTTCCCAGGCCTTGGTCTAGTTACCAATTGGGACTTCACTGGTTTTGTTGGCAAACCTTTCATAAGCATTGAAAATAATCAATTGTTTCTCTTTGAATTCAAATAAGTTATCCTTGATGAGGATAACATTGTAACTTGGTTGCTAAGTTTAACAAAGCCATATATTTTTTTGTTAAAGGAAGTTACTTAACCCTCCGAGTGTCCCTTGTTTTGGCCTTAATGTCTGCCTATTTTTTGCTCATTTGCAAGGTTTTATTAAAACGGATCTGAGAAGCTTGAAAACAATGTTAATTATACTGTTCTATATACCATTTTGTTTGGAAAATCATGGGCTTCAATATTATACATAGAACATAAGGAACATTTGTTTCAAAAAAATTTTTTAGGTAAAAAAAAATTTTGAAAAATTGTCAAAAAAAAAATAAGTTTGCGCTCAATGAAATTGTATAAATTATAGGCCTATAAATATTTGAAAATAGCCACTTTGTTCTAAATTTTATGAGGATTACAAATATATAATAATATAAGGAAGTAGATTTGCAAATAAATAAGTTATGGGCAAAAAACAGATTTCAGTACATAGCGTTTAGCTAAGAATGCATAGCCTAACCATAGCTAGGAGTCTGGCTGATAATTTACATCAATATCACCACCTACTTCTTCAGGATCATCAACCAGCCCTTCAAAATCACTTAAATCTTCTTATAATGCACCATGTATATCACTACTTTTGATTTTTAATACTAAAACAATGATAAACGTAATAAAACACATCAGTCATCGGTCCGAGGATAACCAAGCTGTTTACAAATACGCACGTCAGCTGTCTGCTTCAATATTTTTGGAACTAAAATGAATAGCGCTTAGAGACAGACCTCCGGAGAAAGCTCTGAATCTGTAAAATAAAACGATACCTAACTCGATCCAGTTCAATCCGATTTTGTCAGTCATAGAGCCTTGTGAGTCGCTGCAGCGACACAAAACACTGCACAAAGTGTGTTATGTGTCGCTGCAGCGATAAATAACACTCGGAGGGTTAAGGAGTTAAGTTTTATGGTTATCGTCTCTTTAAGTTCATCCCTTCCTCTGCGTTAGGCATATGCCTAGGTACTTCATATTTTTGTGTGAAATTTAATGTGTCTGGACATAACTTACGTTGGAAAAGGAAATGCCTAAATCAGCAATAATTGCTTGAAAACTCATGCTAACTTAACTTTGAAAATATAGGCGTAGAACAGGAAACATTTTAAATTTGGACATACCGTACTAAGTTATATGTGGTTTCCTCTTTATCACACGTCTTCTCACTAAAACTCATTGACAAAGTTGATAGCTTAAGGATTTCATTTCTTGAAAGAAAAATAGCCTTTAACCCTTTGAGTGCTGCCAAAAGGTGCAACGACTTCCTCTATGGTTCAGCACTAACATGCATGTGATGCACCAAATGGCCAGAGCAAAATCGGTGATTTTGTATGTTTTGGCGAAAGTGCTATAGAATTTGAATGACTTGACATAAAAGGATCCGGTTTATTTTATTTTGGGCTACATGTAATAAACTGTATTTAAATATACAATCATTGCATATAAGGAAAAAAATATTATCTCAAAAATAAAAATAAAAAATTGTTTGAAGTTTTATTTTGTTATTTTCTTGGGTAGGCCTTAATAAGTTAACTACCACACAAATCAATATTTTTTTTCATACACATTTTCTTGTTGAGTAGGCCTACTGCCTAATGAAAGTAAATATTACAATTTTAAAGAGTTTCAAGTTAAGTTTATATAAATAAATAAATTTACTGTGCTAAAAAATATATGAAAATGTGCATTTGATAAATAGCCAACGCAAAATTTACTCAGTGAGTCTCACTAATAACTAAAAACATACACTAATTATTCAAAACATAATGAAAAAAAAAACCCACTGAGGTTAAGTTAATGATAACGTAAACAACAACATTCAATAACTATTTCGAGCGTGAATACAGAATACAATCAGCTGGGTTAGGCCGTGGCCAGGCGTTGTCATAGCCATTTGAATTGCTCTTTTTCCCAGTTACGTATTACAGTTAAAAATTTTTACTATATAAAGTAGGCTAAACTGATTTTTATTATTGTCAGCAGTCTCATTTGAGCTCTAAATGAATAAAATCTACTTTCTGATTTATCAGCAGTTGGCGCTCAAAGGGTTAAAGTAGGCATAGGCTAAAGTATTGCCTAGCCCACATGTGGTTTGGACTATAAAGTAAAATAGCCTTCTAAAAAAAAATACGAATTGTTTTGTTATAGACTAATTTATTAAATTAGGCCTACATGTTTCTATTTTGCTTACCATAATACTAATGTTTAATTTAAACTTTTTACAGTAGCCTAAAACTTATAAAATAGGCTACTTAATCATGATACGCAAGGTCGCATGTTGACTTATGTGACCATACGCACAGGTCTGGTTTAGAGTTGTCCATCTTGGATTGTCTGTCCATAACGACAATATTAATGGTTGAAACATATTAGGGCATTTTTAATTAAGAAAAAATACTGCAAAATATCTTATTTTAGAGCTATTGAAACTGTGGATGTGATTTGCTATCTACTTTTTAATTTAAATTGTTATTTTGTCAAACTACATTATTATTTTGTCCGACCGCCGCGCTGATCAGCTAAAACATATGTTCACGTTGAAGCGTAACCATGCACTGTTTAAGCTTAGTTACCAAGCAGAACATTTTAACTTAAGTTATGTGATTCTTAACCCTCTTGGTGTCAGTCATTTTTGTGTGGTGTCAGTTGATTTTTGGGTATTTTGCAGTAATATTATTAAAAAATGTAACAAATCTAGTTTAAAAAATAACTACCGGTATACCTTGTTATATATTTATGTGCAGCTAAATATATGCACATTATGTTATGATTCAGCACAAATAATTAGGTTTTTATTACTATTTTATCATAAAAAAAGTACCTACTTAGAAAGATAGAAAATACAAAATAAGAATATGAAAAAATTTCTGTGCCCCAATTTTTATGAGTAATTGTAACTAAATGAAACATCTGAAATAAAGCCATTTATTTATAAATATTAGCCTATAGCAAAAAATTAAACATGAACTTTTTAGTATGGTTAACTTAAATTTTAGGACAGCCAAGACTCATAAATATGATCGAGGAATAGTCACAAAATCACTCACTAGGCCTATTACAATGACTTTACTGCCATTAGGTACCAGTAAACATAACCTTCAAATATATTGCTGCAAACACATCAAACCAATAAGTTAGTCATCACTGATAATTTTGTACAGATAAATACATAGTCTAAACCGATAAAAATCAGTTTTTGATAAAGAAATAGTAACAAACAACTTGTAAACAACAAAAACAACACGCAACACGGCAACCAAAATATGTCTCAAAACATCTGGAAACAGACAAACAAAAGTGAGGTTATGAAACAGACACCAGAAGAAAGCCAGTTTTCTGCTGTTTCAGTGATATCAATCCAGTCCAAATCGGACTGAAATTGACTGAGTTAAAAGATAATATGAATAAAGATAATATGTCTGCACTACCATCGATGCATCGACGCTTGACGCCCCAGAGCGTGTCGTTACCATCGATGACACTGGGAGGGTTAAATATATACCGTATTTTCCTTGTGAATTGCATTTCAGAACTTTAAAAATGTTGTTTTAGAGGTTGAAAGAATCATAGTTTAAGTCAATATATTTATGTAGTTCGACAAAATAATAACAATTAAAATTTAAAAGTAGATTATATCTAATCAAATCTGTGGTTTCAATAGCTTTAAAATGGTGATATTATGCAACTTTTTATCTTAATAAACAATGCTGTAGGCCTAATATGCTTCAACCATTACCATTGCCGTTATGGGCAGAAAATCCAAGATGGCCGGCTGTCTTGCCGACTCTTAAGTTAACTTAGTAAACCACAATCCATATATATTAGCCAAAAATGTGTTTTTCTTTAATTTTTAAGTCAATAATGTAAATTGTCAAATTACCTTAGCCTATCTAACTTTTCTTACAGAATATTTTATTTTCTCTGCA